CCTATTAATAGATTTATAATACAGGCCCATTGTAATCCTATATCAGATAAGTGGTTATGGGAAATGGAAGTTTTCATTAATTGAGATACAAAAGCTAAGTAATATTTATCTTGATTTTCAGATTCTTTTAAATGCATCGATGTGTATCGTAGCAACGAAAGCCCAGCAGTCATAAATGAGAATGTTTAAGTCACCTACAGGAATGTTTTGATGTCAATCAGGTTAACTGGCCATACTTTCTCCTTAAAGCAATACTGGCACGTTTTATCATTTCAGTATACATTTTCACACAAATGTTCTACATCAAAAGTCTGTCCATTGTCTTTAACATAACATGTCATTCATAAACTATAAGTAAACGTGCATTAAGTTTTATAAGTTACATCCTGTGGGCACAAATTACAAAAAGTCAACAAATAATCCCTTTGATAGCAAAATTCGATCTGCGTCCTTTCACATTGCTTTGTCACGTGGCTCTGCTCACCGACATGACATCCAAATTTTATCAGGTGTAAAAAAAATGGGTTTAGCGGCCTCTAGTGGCTGCGCTTGGAATCGATTTGGCCGCGTTATCCTGGACAAAGGCCGACGCCGTGGCCGCGTCGCACCTCAAAAAGCCGCACAGATGAACTCAAACCAAACCACCTGTTTCAGCGTTCACTTCGCAGAGATTCTTTACAGACAGACGCCATCGACTCAGATCTGCCCTGCCCTGATTATTCGCGCAAAAGGACACGAGCCCCAGCGCGCACGTCAATTTAAATTCGCAATAATTTCTTACAAATTAACACTGATGTTCGCATTGCAAATTGCCTGTATGTATGCGTCACATTAGGCGTGTTAGACGCGCAGTCAACCGTTAGCCCAAAACGGCAGCCCTCCGATCTGCATAAACCACCGCAATACAAACCCTAATTCACTTTAATAAAATTTAATATTCACGCAATTAGCCGATTATTAAAAAACGAGCATAAACTTTGCTATGATCTAGTTACTAATACAATATGTATAAGTTATAATGTCAGGTAGTATATCTGTGACAGTTAAATAACCGTCCATGTTTTTAATTCTACACAATTAGGCCTATTTTATTTTGCGGTAGATCTGCGCAGGAGCGCAGCCAGCGGGCGGTGTGACTGGAGTTTGCACCGCACTGGCCGCGGCTGCCGCAGTCCTCGGTCCGCTCGTTCATCCTCACACACCCCCGGCCCGCTGCTCTCTACCCACCGCAGCCGCGCTGTCTCCTCCTGCTCGCCTTAATACCGTCGACATGCCCCGAGGAGAAACATATCGAAGCAACCGACTGCGTACGCACATCCTTAAATCAATAAATAAATAATGCAGCGCCGATTAAATTATGCAGCAGGTTGAGGGGTGAGAGGACGGGGCCTCATTTAGCCGGTATATTCTGGGGGGGTTCGTCACGCCTAACTATATTTGAGTGGATGGAGAATCGCGTGGCCACCCGGGAAAGGGAAATGTCATCGTGGAATAATAGTTCCTGGGGTCACCCTTTTATATGTACAACACTGAAATTTTCAATGCGCTACAGGGTATGTTTGGTTGGAAAGAAAGAACCCCCGCCCGATTCCATAAGTAGGTGTGTGTGTGCGTGTGTGTGTGTATATTTCTCATAATACTTTTATTATAGTATAGAATTTAATCAGGTGAGTATTTACATTACAGGACGCTTATTATTGTTACGTCAATGAGGTTCCTTTATCTAGTAAGAAAACACCAGGCGCATTATCAGTTAACTCTTACTAAAGAATATTGTTGTTAGGAGGTAGGGCTATAAATATAATTATAATAACCTTTTAAATCATGTCAGGTGACCTATATTAAATTGCAATTGATAGACCTACAAATGTGTAAAAAAAAATGCAGGCTTTAATTTTTAATTACATTGTTTTCGTACCTACGGCACAGGGTGAAAATTAACAGCGGATTACAGAAAATACGTATCAGAAGGCCTATAATGCAATCCTTCGTGAAGTCAAGAAAGTGTCATTTTTAAAACCGAAGATCCCAGTGTTACTTATCATACAGTGTTTGAAAGCCTACCTCTATATAAAGAATATTAATGTGAACCGAAGCAGTGGATGTATTCATGGTGGGAAATTTAACTTTGTCAGATCTGGAGTTCATTTTGTTGGGATTGCACGCCCCCAAGCCTCACCACCTAGGCTGAGAATGCAGCCTCTTTCCTGCAGAAGCGACACAGGGCAGATCCGAGATAATGATGCGCTCGGTGCGGCCAACAGGCAGCAGCCCACCTGGCCGGGGTGAGGCGGGGGGCTGCCCGACGCTAATCCCCCGCATCGGGGCTCCGTCACCTCTGCTCATTGACTCCCGAAGAGGCTTCCAGTCCGCAAGCTCGTAAAACAGATGTGGCCCAGAAGGAAGGAATAAATCACGGGCCAGTGTGAAATTACTGTTTTGTATTTAAATAAAGTTCGCAAGTTACAAGTCGCCAACGAAAGGAAGAGCACTGTAAATATCGTTGATCTCCGATAAATTATGTTTGGTTTGACATTAACTAATACGCAGCAGATTGATTCATCGTGTCTGAAAGATATACTACAGGTTTGGTATTTCCCAGACAAAAATCAGTGTTGTTCCCGAGGACACGAGCTGGGCTAATGTGCTGTTTTAACAGCAGTGTCTGAGAAATAAAATGAATGTAAATTAATATAAATGTAATGTAAGGACCGCAAGTGAAGCAGATCGGATATTTCATACGCATATATAAAACGGGCATTTCGGATGAAGATAATTTGAGTTTCATCTTTGCATTGTTATAATTAAATAGCGCATATTTCACGTTGGGTCCCCAGCACTGGTTAGCCTATACTTAAATATGTATATGCTAAATATTATATATAGCGTTAGCTGTTGGATCCCTATTGTTTTTATATAATATTATTTATCGCCGGATGCTATTCTGGTATTGATTGTTTTATTTCCTTGGCACTGTGGTCTACGGAAAGCACGCAAGATTGCACAATAGCCGTCTGTACAAATGAACATAAACGCTTGAAACTTGGAAACCTCGTCAGCTGTTATTCTCTTCTTATTTGCATCGTGTAATGCAGGCATCTCCGCGAATCCACGTGTATTTAAGGGATGCCGTGATGCCTGTGTGTAACTGTGAGTAAGAGAACAGCACCATAATAAGATTTAAACATGTTAATCAGATCATTCCAGAGAGTTTGTTTCCCACCTCTACATATCTGTGCTGCTTGTCTGACATATTTCAGAATAGGCCTACAGTTTTCAGTCGGTCAGTGTATGGAGACGAAGAAAACAACACTCCGGTGTGAGAACACGTGATCGCAGGGAGCAAAAAGATTAATTATTTGTGTGACTGATGTTGACGGGGTTATGCCTAACAAACTGTAATGGCGCTTAACTAACTACGCTGAATACTATAAACTATACAAAACTAGCTAAACTCAAACAGGTTTTTTTCACTCTAAGAAAAAAAACTTCCAAATCTTTTTATCCACTCCGCTCACTATTGAAAAGTCGCTCGGAAGCTCACACACGTGGTTACGTGGCTCCATCTAGTGGCTACAACCTGAAATGCGTTTTCTGAACCAAATTACTAAAAAGATCGGGTTTAATGGAGAGCATTTTACAGGATGGTGATTCAGCATAAAACGAAACAGATTAAATCACAAGACTGAATATTACAAATGAAAACAGACCAGCTTTGAGGAATTATAGGGATAGTTTGTAAAATAATTTTGAAATCTTAATGAATATAAATTCGTAGCTATAAACCAATCACTTTCTGTACTCAACACGAGGGCCGATGAATCCTACAGGATCCAACTTCTAAGGGGGCGCCGACATGGCATCTAATTTCACTTTATCTCGGACGGGGGGTGGCGATGATGCTCGCCTTGGGTGTCGGTACTGCTCCACAGTAATCAAATATGTAACCAAGGAAAGGTCTGAGTATTATTGGTATGCTGAAACCACACTGGAAAGTGACGATGTCTTTAATACATCTAGCAGAAGCGGTGTACAGCGTAATATTTACACATGAAGACGATGTAAATCACGGGTCCTGTAATGAACAATCTCTATCCACCAGATGGAGACATCATTCTGTATTAAGCGTGACGTTATATTCAAGTTGCACATACTAACATTTTAATCTTAATACCATGCAAATAACGAAACGGTGACACGGTGCAAAATTTGGTCAGCATCTGTAATTACTACGAACTATTAATTTAGACCAAAGAATTAAAGGGAAATCAACAGTGATATTGTATTGGAAAAATGTGTTCTTGTTTAATGAATAACTGGGGATTTATCACTTATACTTTTTGTAAATGATTATTATGTGAATGCGTTCGTTTATTAGTACACGAACTTTTTGGGTTACAGCATGAGTTAACTAGCCTAATATGCTGTGAGTTTTGAGTTTCTTGGGGGCCGGGCGTGGGCGTTGCAGCCACTGAGCACATATTATACAGAAATTAAAATATAAGGCAAGGGTCTCCACCCATTTTAGGGTGTACGGGGTTGGTTTTGATATATGTGGGGTGGGTTACAACCCCTCCTTGGGTTACAACTCCCCCTTCATGTCCCCATAATTTACGCCCATGTAATATATGCTCAGTGAAATTACACAACAGTGAACCACACTAATACTTATACGGATTAGTTCATATAAGCAGACAATTGCATTATTGCACTTTCAGTAAGTTCCCGGTCTAAGACATTACATTCCAATCCCAGGAAAGTCACTGCATAAAGCTGATTGTTCTCCGGACAAGAAGTCAGTCTGTTACTTGTGTAGTTCTAATATTTTTTTCAATATAATGACATGAGATCGCCAGGGCTGGACTGGTCACCTGGAATACCATACATCGTGGGCCTATGTGGGCCGGCAGTAGTTATTATGGGGGACGCCTAAATCCAGGGCGGATTTTTAATATCAGTTCAGCCATGGAGACAGATTAGGGATAGCTCCCTTTCCTTCCCCATTTCACTGCCCCCCGCTGTTGCGCGCTCGCAAATGGTAATTTAACAGTTCCTTCTATTATAAGTATTATGGTAAAATAAATGTACATGTATGGATTTTTTGGCACGCAACCAGTGGCGCTTGTTTTCGCAAGATTACGGCTAGGTCCAATGGGTTTTATCTAGGTTTGGGAAACTTTTTTCTTCTTTTTACCGACTGATTCTAAAAACTGAAGGAGAAGACATGGCACGGCTGAGGGTGTACATTAGCTTTATTATAATCTTTATTGCAGTTACAACAAGCAGCGCCGCACTTCCTGACAATGAAACAGTGACATTCAGAGCTACAATTCTTAATCAAGACCCAAATGTTAATAAGACCCCCAATCCAAACCATGCATCTTACGACGCAAGCAACGCGAACCACTTCGCATTTACTCCGAACTTCACCACTGCAAAACCCAAGGTGGGAACTACAACAGCGCCGAATACTGTCCCGCATTTCAGATTTCATAGCGAAGACTTGGAAGAAAGTATCGATAAGAAAGTGGAAAGAACAGTGTGGAGCAAAGAAGAGGAGGATCAACCAGAAGAACTAGGTGAGGTTTATGCGCGGCTTCTGTTGACTACAATTGCGGTTGTTTTACATATACGTACAGTACACTAAATGCGATGCACTGCATGTCTTTATCGTGATTATAGTGAGGCTGCGAAGTTTGCTTTGATTACGTAGTTAATTGTTTTAATTACATTGCGGGGATTCCTTAAACTTGTATTCAGATGCAACTCGAGACGGATTTTTTTTTTGTCCAAATATATAGGCCTTTTTTGCATTAAAAGTTTAGGTATTTCCCGTGCAGAGCTGCAGACACAGCGTGCACTGCTTGACCTGCACCACCGTGTCCGAACTGCAAAGTGCGATGCCCATAAATATGCTGCAGCCTTTGGCTCAGTCGATGTTTGAAAACGGAAAATACCGTGGCGTTCGCCCAGCGCCTAATATTAATTTTGGCGTTGCCTTTTGCCTCTCATGCAACTAATAACGCTGACTTCTACAGTTACAACCTTATGCATGAAAGCACTGAGATCTGCACCATTGAACACATTGATGTCTAATTATATAGGGTTATTTATTGTATTTTATTGTATTAGTATTCTTTCATGTCATTGCATGAAACGTATATGAAACGTAGCCTAACTATTGCCAAGTATCCGAGATAGTTTAAAGCTTAAAATGTCATTAACAATTGTTGACATGTGAACATAGAACAGTATTGCATTATTGTCCGTAAATATCATGTCCATATGTTCTGCAGTTAACATTCAAAGACAATTACTGCATCTCTGGAAAAAGGGACAATTCGACTCAACCAACCATGGCTTGTTGCGTTGAATCAATATCTGGTCTCCATTCCTTCCCTGTTCTACTGAGATGCAAACCAGATTTCATATAATTGCTCATGGGAAAACTTGACAAAACGATCTTTTTTCGCAATTCTGTCAGATGCTGTTTTTTCCCTTGTTACTGAGCAGCGGTGCACAGGTTTCCTGACAAGCAACTGAAGTCAGTAGACTTTCTGCTTAGTTTGTAGGCTACTGGCTGACACTGAAAACCGCCGATGTGCATAGCATTGGCGTAGAGTCCGGCAGCACAGTGCTTACAGTCCGTAGCTACAGGAGGTCTAACATAGTCACATGTGAAGTAGCCCATCTTTAGCCTAGTTGACTATATACTATGCATTAAATATTAAATACAACTATAGTTTGCATTAAAAATCCAGTTTGAGCATCAGTAAATGATAAAAACTGCATCTGTAGACCTTGTATAATTACATAATTTGTAAAACTAATTAACAAGGCTTCATCCATTATTAATTTTATTGTATGCTCAATGCCCTTGGCTTCGCCACAAATTCTAGCTAACTATGTAGATGACTTGTTTCTTTTGTTGAAATTTTCATGTAGCCTATGATCTATTCTACTGTGGATTGTTATTTTTAACGGGTCATTTGTTATAATCATTTTAAGCAGCAGGTACGGACAGCAGGACAGCCATTCAGACACTGGTCACATGACCTTAGCATTTACACAGAAATATAAACTATAATCCGTGTCTTTGTTCCGTCCGACCAATCGCCCCCGACCGTAGTCCTATTAAGACGGAGGTCTGCCCGGGGGGTTCAGGTAGCAAAGAAGGTGAAGAAGGGGCGGACGAAGCCCAGAGACACGCCGAAGATGCTGAAGATTGTTAAAAAGGGCGAGCAGAAAAGCGCTGTTAATGGCGCCCCCTGGAGGCAATCAGTGAACACAGCGACACGTATGTATTGTATACAGTATGAGAACTTAATGCGACGAGCAGGCAGCTCCAATTTTAAGTGTCATACTGTCTATATTTATCGTGATTGTAGGCTTAATGTTATTCTTAACCACTGCTTTGATTAAAATAAAATTCTATTTTAATCAGGTGCTCACCGTTTTAATGTCTGGCCCTGTACACCCCATTACAGACATTAAAACATTAAAAATCCCGCATGCTGAAAGGGTTCCAGTAGGAGTCCCGTTGGGAAAATGGGTTTATTTAATGTTGCTGTACATGAAACGCTTGATTCAGTTGTGAGTCATTCTATGGGGGAGGGGCTTCTTAGCACTAGTGCTTAGGGAGGGGGGGACACGTTTTGGGCTCATAAACCTTTCACAGCTACCTTTGTTGTGGTTGTGTTTGTCTTGTGCACTTGTGGCAGGAGGACATTTTACTTTTGTAGTGGTG